TAGTAAATAAGGTCAATAAACTTAGCTTAAACTATGTGAAAAAGGCAACGTATTTCAACTAGAAACATGAGTAGACAACAGGAGTGCTCTGTTACCGTTGCTCAGCTGATAGGTGCTTCCAGAGTAAGCCATTAGAATTTGATCATATTTCATTCCTAAACCTATCAGACATTTTTTTAAATGGCAAATAAAACAGGGAAGTTTAAAAGATCTGATATACAGCCATGCTGCAAAACACTCGAGTGGTGTAAACAGTCTATGCCCTCACACACATACCAGGCCACTTGCTAATTCTTCTGTAAATTTCCACCCATAGAGTGAAGCTAATAGAACTAAATATGAGCATGTATCTCATACACTTCTGTGCAAAAGTCAGACATCCTTCCTTATATAACTAATAAAAGTGGGGTTTGCTTATCTGGGTGATTTTCCACTGAAACTTACTAGATAATGTTCGTATTTTCTACCCTGCTGACTTGAGCTGAGGAGCTCTTGTCGCCTCCTGGTGACTGGTAGTGATAAGCAGCTGGAGTGTGTAATATTTTCAACTGCTCTACATAGAGTCATTAAGGAACATCTGCCTATGCTTCTGCTTCTAGAAGAGGAACACACTTGCACCTCTTTGATATTTCTTTCCCCTGAAGGAAGAAAGGATTCTTAATTGTATTTTACCAGCAATTAACTTTTCGCTGCATCTGCACTCTCTGCTTCTGTTAAGACTCACAATATCCAACATACATAAACAAAATTCTTGCCAGACTGCTTGATTTTTTGACTAACAATCTACTTGACCAGAAATACTGCAATTTAAAATGTGCTGCTTACAACAAGGCTCCCAAATTCCCCATATAGAGTCAGATGAACCCCTAGGAAAAATGAGTTTGAGGGTAACTAACTACTCGCATTAAAAACATTCCTCCATTGGTATCCAGGAATTTGTCTCTAAGAAGGAACCATTTTGCGGCTTAGGTAGCTCTCTGATCACGAGGTAATGTCACCATCCCAGTTATTCGTATTAGGCTTGGTTCCAGAACTGCAGTCCAGAACAGCAAGTTTGGTTTGAGCCCTTCTGGCAGAGGTCTGAAAAGAATCCTGAATAACATGGATATCTGCAGTGTCTCTAGTTCTTGCCAGCCCTGGCCGAACTGGCTGTTCAATGAAAGCTGATCCACTCTCCTCACCACTCCTCTTCAAGAGTTCATCTGCATTTCTCATCCTGTCTCAAGTAAAAACGACTGTCCTAAGAACCCATTAGCACATGAAAATCCTGTAATAGCCAATGGATGTCAGAAATCTGCAGCTTGAGGCACACCCAAAGTGTCTTATAAAAGCCACCATGCATTTTAAACTCCATGTTATTGCTAAACAGATCAGAAATACAAAGAACTGGCAAGCAAAAACAAGCATGCCAAGGGTCCAATCTCTGATGTAAAAGTCTAAACTTAATTACTGGTACAAAGTCATGCATTCTGCTACAATCATAAAAATACACTAACTTCAAGTCCCTATTAATTTGAATGCACTAGTGTTGCAGAAAGGTACCTACCAACTAAATGTGTGATGTGTTCAACTACAGATGGACATTCCCATTTGCAAGCAGAATGTTTCTGTTTTAATTTCTGTAAGTTCATAAATCAAAGCATAGCTCATCTGCAAATAGCTGCAACGTTATCTGATTTTAAGGTCAAAATTCAGAAGGCCTAGACAGCTCTCATCCAAACTCACTAACCTTACCAGGGCTTTTAAACTTTTTACCTGTATCCACGGGAACAAAAAATTTCAGTTTGCACTTCTTAATATACCCTTTTTTTTTTGATATATATTTTTCAAATAAAACCTGGTTGTCCCCCATATTCATTTAGCACTGTGAGCTGAGGCTTTAAAAGCAAAACCTAAACTCTACAATTAATAATAAAACCCTGCCATATTTTCATTAGTGTACTTCAAATGTGGGCAGACAGATGTCTAATGGTAAACAAGGATCTGTGGCCACTTCTGCCTTAAAATGCAAAGACCACCTTACTTTTGCAGAAAGAGGGGGGCAGAGCAGAACAGGAAGCCTGACTGAGCTTACAAATATGCTCCTTGGTTTTGCTCATTGTGATAGCTCGATGTGGAAAAACAATGTACACTCTACATGTCAACAGTGGAAAAAGTCAATCTTTGTGAGAAGAGTCAGACATCTAAAAATACTGATAAATGGGCTACAAAAAGCAGCAGCTTGCTGCCCAAAGCAAACAAAACATTTCTAAAGGTTTGTATGTTTGCTGCTACAGCCAAAAAGGTGCAGAACAGAAAAACGCATGACTCAAGGTATGAAAACTTGCTATATTCTACCTCTCCAAAAGCAGAAATAACAGGGCAGTAGAATGGGAGCAGCTTTCAGGATCTCTGTGTCCTGATTACCTATGGGGATTCCCTGTACCAACCCGTGTCTTACAAGGTAATCAGCACTTCATGCAAGGATGGAAACTCAATCACCTCACCCAGTTTGGTTCTGCCGTTGATGCCTTTGCACACCCCTCCTTTGCCTTTGAGAGTAGGAGGTGGCCACTACTGTGTAACAAAGAGACAGAATGTAAGTCAAGCTCTGTATCCTAGACCTAATTTAAACATTTTGTATTCATTTCTCCTGGCACAATGCAGAGTGGATGAGTAATTAGATCATTATCTCCCCATCAATGAAAATCTTAACATCACTGGGACAGGAAGTTGCAGCTGTGTAACAACAGACAGCACTATTGCACACTAGATTAGAAATGGGAAAGGAAAGCATTACAGGCACTTTAAAGTTAGGAAGGATTTTACTATAATTATCCCAACTGTAATATAGCCAAGAAAAAAGTGATTTGACAGGGAGCTCTAAAATGTCCCAGGTCAAAAATGATTATAACAAATTTTCCATATAGACATTTTTCAGCTAATCTGGTCTCAGATTTTGCCTCTCACGTGTTGATTCTTAAAGGCCATATTCCAAAACAGAATGATTTGCTTTTCAGAAGTACTTTTTAAAGCTTCAGATATAAATCATCTCTATTTCAGATGACTGAAAAGTATCCAGAGGGGAAATTCTGTTAAAAATAAAGAAATCACCCCACCCACATTTTAACAATAAAAATTTAGCAAAAGCATCTGAAAAAAACACTGCAATAAAATCTTGAATGATCCTTTGCACTGGGGTGATTTTTCGCCCTTTTCCTGCTAAAATAGGAGAAGTTTCTTCCCCAACCCAAAGATAAGCTTTATAAAGTAATAGAAGAGTTTTCAGAAAGGAATGAGATATTTTTCCCTCAAAATTTAGTTGAGATTAGAGAGACTTTTAAAAGAATCACTTTATATAAAAATGAAGGCACAGAAATCTCTACAGAAAATGAGTTTAGCGTGAGAGTTGAAAATTTTGAACAAGTGTTTCTTTGCACAGATTTCATCAATGTGCTCTAAGTCTGCTATTGAGAAATGGATCACCCAGAAAGAGGGAGCTGGTGATTCCTCAACTCTTGTTACTGTGAAGTATAACCTATCAATTAAAAGAGACCCAGCTACTGCTTTTCTATTAGAAAAGGCAATACTACAATTTTTTTGAGTGGTACTTACGGACAAGTTTTACTTAGTGTGCAAAACTGATCAAAGGTAGCAAGTGAGTACCAGACAGAAAAAAAGGGAACAACTCAGGACACCTTAATCTAACTTACAGTCATCTTTCATGTACATTTCACTGTGGTTGAGGAATCAGGAAGGTTATCAATAAACAGAAAGTGCTTCTCTCTAAGAATTTTTACAGACTTCATTGCTCAAACAGATCTGTGTTCAAAACAATTTTTAAAAAATTATGTTTATTTGGATAGTTTTCTTTCAGTTACTACAGAATGAAAATGTACCTTGAAGAGTAATGTGTGCATTCATGAGCAACAAGTAAGCATCAGATTGTGTACAAATACTATTATACAAACATACAATCAAAGCCCTGGTAAAGTAAGTACTGGTATAGTACAGTAAGTATAATATAGCAAATATACGTGTAAATATAGGTAGCACTTGTATGTATTCATACACGATCTACATTATCACATACAGTCATCATTAGATGAGAATAATGGCACTGTTAACTAGTAAGCCATTCTAACTTGAACACCTTAATGATTTCCTATTGTTTGACCTGTATTTTTAGCCAGTGTTTTTTCATCGTCACTGTTTTTTCATTGCTAAAATGTCTTTACCAATTGCAGTGAGGTTACAGAACATGTAAAAGCTGGATTAGTAAACAAGGGTAGGAAATAGGTTCTTCTCACTGACAAAGGTGCAGCATAAAAACAGCTTAAAAGATAACTGCCACCTCCTACAGATTTTCTCTTATTTGTTAACACGGTGTGGAAAATGTTGAAAATATTTTATAGTGTAGCTCGGTATTGACTAAAAGTTTTACTACAATATACTACGTAATTTAGTCCTGCCTCTTTTCCAACTTCTATCTTTCACGAATGTCATTTAAAGTATCTCTACTTATGCACGTCAGGAACAACTAAGCACAAGACAAGAAGTAATGCTGTACTTTAGCACCGCAGTTCGGCTGCAGCTTTGCAACAATATTACTCGAGAACCTACAAAACGCAAATAAATTGCCGTCTTCGTAATTCAGGAAAAAAAGCGGATACCGTCAATCCCTCCGGTACACAGAGGCACACAGCAGCACACAGACAAACCCTATGTCTTCGCAGCGCTCGAGCTCTTCTAGCTATTGTTGCACGCTAATTAAAGCAGTTAAGTGCGAGACGTCGATCGTCAGCCACAAAGGCTAAGGTTGTTCTGTAGAATCCGCGGGGAACTGTTTGGAAGGAATTTTGCGCACACCGATGTTTTCATCAACCGCCTTGTAAGAAAGGATCGGTTTCCCTTCCCTCCTCTCAGACAGGGGCCATCAGAGGAGGCAGCTCCGAGCCAGCCCCGCCACCCCCGGAGAGCACCCTCGCCTCCCTGGGAAGGCTTGCAACAGCAAGACTTACCTTAGTGAGCTGGGCAATCTTCTTGCACATTTTCATGTGCATTTCCTGATTGCATTCCTCTGCCGAGCTGCTGCGAGCGGCTTTAGATCCATTGCAAGTCCCGGGCTGATGAATCTTGTTTATGCCAGAGGCCATGAGGCTTGAAATACTTTAATCAAGCCTGTCTGTGTACGCTCGGGGTAGTGCGATCCTGTCCCCGCTGCTGGCCTCCCCCGACGCGCTGCGCGCACTCAAACCCCCACAGCGCTGGAGGAACTTCAGCCCCAAACAGGGCAGGCTCCAGCCGCCGCCGCTCTCCCTTCCGCGCAGATGTCCCAATCCTTCAGCAGAACACCCAGGAGAGGAGGCAGAGAACAGCATGTGCAAACACCCTGATCGGGATTTTTTTTTCCCTCCCCTTCAAATGGTTGAGCTTCCGCCAGGAGAAGATGCCAGTGGCTGGGTGCTACTAATTCCCCAGAGGAGACGCTGAGCCAGCCGTACAAGCAGCAGCACAGACGTTGCTGGGGATCTGTCGTAGAGATCGTCTGCAGATTAAATCATGTTACCTTCTTGGGCTGCCAAAGGATTGCAGAGGTCATCCGAGAGGACGGTGTTGGCACCTTTCATAAGCTCTGTTATTTTGGCAATCCTCTCTAAGTCCCGATGGACCAATAAAGAGATGAAGAAAACCTTGTTCAATTTTTGCTGCTCAGCTGAAAGCAGAATGGAGCGGTTCTCCCAGCTAAGAGGCACACTTAAGCATAGCTGAGCCCGGGAGCGGTGTCCAGGATCCCGTCCGCCTGCCTTATCCAGAGAGACTGGTCAGTTCCCCTCAGTTACACTGAAGGCATTGGAAAGGTGCTAGAAGAAAACTGACAATACTACAGGTCATTTTTTTTTTCATCTGCAAGCCATCCCCTCTCTTCAAAGAGACCAGGCTTCTACATGTAAAAATAAATAAAAGGACAGAAAAGGCAGAAAAAAGGGCACAAAAAAGGCAAGCTGTTAAGGTAATGGGATTTTTAAAGATGAATTGTTCAATAAAGTGTTATGCAAGAAGAAAATGGTTAGTGGATATGTTTAAACAAGTCTAGAAGAGAAAGGGGAAGGAGGAGAAGCCAAAGTAGAGTGAAGTCAGAGGGGCGGAGAAGAGGAAAAGGGAGAAAGAACAGGTAAGAGAACCTGAGAGCTGCTCAACACCCCTTTGACGTGTCGCTGCAGCCAGTACAGGAGACACCATGGAGCCGAGGGCCCCTTCTCACTCGCACTGGCTTGCAGCCCGCCAGAGGGGCCATGAGGCTGCCTCTTCCCCCCCTGCCCCATGCAGGTAAGGCAGCTTTCCTGTCTCACCTCTTGGCAGTACTTTCCATCCTTCTCAGGAAAGAAGCTTCCACTTTGCTAGTGGTAGGTTTGAAAAACAGCTTCCTCAGGACTATCAGAATTGGGAAGGAGGATTATCCAGTGTCAGCTAAGGGCAGGGCAAAAGGAAAAAGGGAAAATCCTCAGCGAAAAAGGGAAATCCTCGGTGAGGACAAAAAGAGATAAAGCACTGTTAAGAATAAACACTCCAAGAGGAAAAAGATCAGGGCAGAAGAAGAATGCCTGCAGGCAGTGGGGAGAAGGAGGAATGAGAAGAGGTAAGAATAGAAGGACCTCGGGACAGAGAAACGAAACCCTTAAATTGTTGGGAGAAAAGGAGGGACTCTCAATCTCCGGAGGCAGAAAGAATCTTCACTTCAGGAGTGAGAGGAAATGAAGACTGACTGAGAAACTCAGCGTAGGAGAAGGGAAAGGGCAGGAAGGAAAACGAAGATGGTCACAGTTGCTGGGAGATGCTAAGCAGGGAAGAGAAGTTTAGCCCAGACAGAACATCAATAAGAAAAGGTAAGAAACAGAGCCTTGTACACAGGAATGACTAAGAATAGTTTCTTCATTCACTGGCATTACTGTCCAAGATGCCGCTGCCTGAGATGGAAACTCTTTCTATGACTAGGGCATAAGGACACGCTATTGTCAATTGTCTGGTATCTGATAAGACATGTACTCACACTTAGGTTTAACTCAGTTAATATGGTTATCAATTTGAGAAAAATGTGTAGGAACTTAATTATATGTAAAATTTTGATAAAATTGACAAGGTTATTAGGACAATCAAGAGAACACAAAGGGCTAGAGCAATTTCCTAGCACCTTGTTTCCTCAGAAAAAGAACACAACTGGGTGAAAATAGAAAGCAAATTAAGAAAAATGAAAAAGGTTTTAAAAGCACTTACAATAAGTTACCTGTGTTATCACTCCACAAGACAGATAGTAACATTAATGTTTTCTCTACTGAACAGCAGAGGACACACTGGACCTGAATGCATGGCTGTACAGAGACTTGAGACACACAGGCATAGACAGAACAGAGGAGTACAGATCTTCAGGTACACTGGGAAAGGAATACAGCACTGAGATATTTTCAGGCAGGCTGTTCATGTATTTTGGGGGGTTAGAGGGAAAAACATGAGGCTTTGGTACAAGACAGTGTGTTAGCAGAACATAATTTGTCACTGGTAAATTATTCTGAGTCCAGACAAGACTTGTCAGTCAATACTTCAAACATTGGAAAGGCTTCAATTAGATATCATGCACCAGAAAATGCAACCACAGAACTAATTCATAGGTGATTCAAGTTCATTAGTTCCACCACTCAAAAAACCCACTCAATTTCAATAACAGAATTTCAGCAGATAATGCCAGAGTTTTTCAATGAGAATTTGACCTATTTGTTTTCTTTTAATTGATCTAGGAATCACCTATAGATAAGACAACAAAGCAAGGATGTCACAAAGCAAAATTTAAGTGTGTACTGTACAAGTGTGGGTTTTGTGAGAACCACATGGAACACAGAAGTAGATTACAGAATGTTCTTGAACTTGGGGCGGTATATGGCAAAGATAGTTTAAAATACAAATTAAAAGTCTAAACAGAAAACACACACACACACTTCTGCTTGAATTATTACTGCTATATTAGTTTTAAGTAAATTTGAGAGAAGGTGGTCATGGCACTACTATAAGTCTATGAGTAACAGTACACAGGTTTATAGCTTTACTGCATAGATGCATTGACTAATTTACCTTTTTATTATAAAAAACAAGTCATATATGAGTAAAAGACTAAGTCTTCCATTTTCGGTACCTCCTGCTTGTTGAGTATCCGGACTATTTAGCTTCTGAAATCTTTACAATCCCTCTTTGCAGTCCTCCTAACTCAGCCAACTGTGGTATGCGTAATAGAGTTGAGACACCTCTGTTCTACAAACTTTAGTCTCCTCAAGCTTTGAATTTGGAAAATCATAGCACATAGACTATCATTATATGAGAGCATGTTCTTTCTCTTACTTTGATGGTGGATTGGGCCATTATTGCACAACAGAAAATTAGATGTTCTGCTCATCACATCCTTCCAAAATTTGTGTTCAGGTCTGTTTTTTTAATAATATAATATTGAAGGAATATTTACTGTTCTCAATCAATGAGGAAATAAACAGGGCTTCTGATGAGCTTTGACTTGGGATCAAATCCTTTCTTGTTTTAGACACATGTGTGGGAGAACCAAAAATCAAATTACTTTTCTCCTTCTCCAGTGTTTTTATAATGCCTTTCTCCGTCTGTCAAAAAGAAAAGAAACAACTTGGAACAAAATCTGTATGCAAAGTAACTAACTTCTGTGTTCTTACCCTTTTTCTACAGTACGAAAGCAATTTCTCATTGCTAGGTTAACATAAAAGCACTTTGTTGTGACACATATTTAGTCTGTAACTGTGACTCAGATGTCAGAAACATTCTCTGATAGCTGATCAGTCAATGTCAGTAAATCTTTTGGGATTGAATGCAAGAAAAAGGACAAGTATAAAGTGGTTCTGCCACTGGTACATCTTGGGTAACTACATATATTATGTATAATTTTATACATATATAATAGCTACTTTATATATAGCTACTTTATAATTCTCATTTCTTCCCACCTCATAAAGCAAACAGGATTTGAGAGTCCAATTCAAAAACCACTAGAAGCGCTACTGATTTCATCATTGACTGAAAACAGTAACTATTCAAAAATGTATATACAATTTTACAGCTGACTTACATACACACAAGTTTTGGAGGAATGTCGTGAACAGAACCTCTGATTACTATTGCATAATGATGGCCCAATTATGGATGAAACATTACTGTGCTTATATTTTTAAAATGGAAACTGGAACCAACCAGATGCATCAGTTACAAAAGCCCTGGGACACCTACTAAATAGGATAGCAACGACTATCCTTTTTTTGACCTGTTTTTTACCCAGTGACCTACATCCAAAATTACCAGAAAGTAACTGGCATACAGAAGGTCTGGCTTACCCTGTGGCACTGTGTGTTTGCTCACACAACAGGACTGACAAAGGAAAGAAAAAGGATCTAGAACAATGGATCAGAGGTAGAGACAACCAGAACTAGACGATAGCATAGCAGATGAGGTCACTATTTCAAAAGACAAGAAAAAAATCTTGAATTATTAGAGCATGCTTCCCTCCAGAGCCTGGAGCACCATCCAAGGTTCTGAGTTTCATCATTCCTTTTCTTTCCTTTTCAAGTAAAACTGTGAAACCCACTGGCCACAACCTCTGGGCCTGTGCTGCTGGTGAGGTCCTTATCCTCCCTGTCAGTCACCGTATCCATCCCTCAGGAAGTAGCTAGCCCTCACTGAGCCCTGAGAGTTAACTTGGAAAAGGACTGAAGGCCCAGGGCTGAGCTGAAATGGGGTTCCTGGCCCATGGGCAAGGGGTGTGGCTGGAGGCCCCAGGTGAGGCTGGTCAGGGGCCATTAAGGCTTATTAGTGCAGTCTAACAGAAACATAACCTGTAAAAACTCTGACAGCAAATACCTCTATTAGTTAAACAAAGCATCTGGTATCACAGGGAGACAGTTTTACTTTATGCAGAGCGAAGTCTAAATGGCCAACATTTGTGATCCTACTTTAGCATGTTACGTATCTACACCCGAAATACTAATTATGATACTGGGAATCTGGATTCCTGTGGCATATTTACCCTGAAAGCCAGTATGTCTAACTGGGTTAGACATCAATTTGTCATAACAGAAGCCTGGCTTCTATTTCTACCTAGAAATACAAAAACTAGCGGAAATATTGAAAGCAGACTGGAAGAAATAAATCTTACATCCTAGTTGAAATCCATCATAAAGGACTACAAGGTATTCACCAGGGAAAATCATCACCTGTAGGTCCGAGAAGCAGGTAGGCACAAATG